CTTTGGTGACAATGTCTCGGCAATGTCCATAGCCTGCAATCCCATTTTTCACGCTCGAACCAAGCATATTGAGGTGGATCATCACTTTATACGGGACTGCATTCAATCAAACCAGATAACGGTTTACCATATTTCCACCACCGATCAGCCGGCGGACTTCTTTACCAAGTCTTTATCATCCGCTCGCCTTCTCGCCTTACGAACCAAGCTTCTTGTTCTCCCGACCATCAGCTTGCGGGAGGGTGACATGGCTCCTGCATCCTGCATTAAACCTAAATCATTAGCACAAAGTGGAGCAGAGCCCGCCGGCGTACAACAGACCCGTTATCCACCTTTGCCTGCCACCTGATCACTTTATAACTGTCAAGGGGCAATGATGTAATTGCACCAAGAAACATCTTTACTTATTTATACCAATGTAATCAATTTTAGACAACTCAATGAAATCATCCATTTCACTGTTCATCTTCTTCCTCTCTTAGCTTGTAATGGCGTTTGCCTGTCTACACGACTTCATCATTCTCCACTCTACCTTCATTGGTTCTCATATGCAGATTGGACTAGCAATATTATGGATCAAACTTCCACAATTGCTCACATTATTTTCCCTAGTCATAATGCAATCTCTTGGTGCTTCAAGAAATAATGTACTTTCACTCGCTCTTCCACTGAAGTATAATACCATGGATTGCCTTTATCATTGTTGAAATCACTTGGCTAAAATTTATACTTCTTGAGCTCGATATTTCTCAACCCACTCTATCATCAATTTATTGTGATAATACAAGTACAACATACTTATGTGCAAACCAACCTTTTCATTCACATATAAAGCACATTGCCGTTGAATTTCACTTCGTTCAAGAAAAAGTGCAAAATAGTGACATTCATGTCTCTCATGTGTCATCTAATGATTAGTTATCCAATGCTTTTACCAAGCCTCTTTCTTGTCATCGACTCGACAATCTACATGTTAAGATTGGTGTAATCTCGTGTGACTCCATCTTGAGGATGCATATTGGAGAAATCAATTATTTCATTATTTTCGGTTTCTTTTCATCAATTATTTCATTATTTTCGGTTTCTTTTCATTTGGTCTTTGTATTAAATTGACATTCATTACAGGCTTTAATTCACTTTCCTTTTTATTTCCTTTCGTTTAGTATATGCATTAAATTGACATTCATTATGATCATTAATTTACTTTCCTTTTGGTTTTCTTTCATTTAGTCTATGCATTAAATTGACATTCATTAGACATTTCCTTTTCCTTCACTAATTTGTATCTATAAATATTGTATAAAATTTGTAATACAAAATTAAGGAAAATAATTGTTTCCCTTCATATTTTCTTTCTCTATAGGCATCACAAATCATATTTTTAGTATGTATAAAACTCTCTTTAGTGCTTCATGTGTTCCAACAAGCGACAAGATAATTAATTATAAATATAGAATAATGATCTCTATTATGATTAAACATTTTTGAATACTCTTGCTATTAATTAACAAATATTGTGCACATATTTTCTACACTTGAACTCATATATGTAATTAAATTATTACTTGTCATAATAATTACATCTATTATCATATAATTTGTGAGAATTTTAAATTAAGAAAATTTAAAAAGAATTCCAATTCATTCATTGCACATTCAATTCACCCACATACTTTGATGTGCCTTCAACTATCAAATAGCAGCACAAAGATTTGGGGAGCTCATTGTAGAAGATCAAAGGAGACCATATAAAGAAAGAGAGAAAGCAATGAGGAGAAATTCCTTCTCTATCTAAAAATTTATTTATTATAATTGGATAATGAAAATATGAGAAAAGTAATCCACCTAATTGCAAGCTATCCTTCAATACTTTATGGATTAATTAGTGCTTCATCAAGTTAATAAGGTCCAACTAATTTATTAAGATATTAATTATTCATAATAATTGATAATTAATTATGATTATGATATTAAATTTAGATATTTATATTCATATTATATAAGTTTATTTAGGAACCAATTAATTAATTAATTAATGAGTAATTAATGATATAGATGTTAATCATAATGTTATTAGGCTAACTTGTGTAGTTAAGCTAATTCTATGCATGACCCTTACATAAATTAGCATCCTGAAAAAGATCAATTAATTGATAATTATAAACTTCCCGAAAACTTTCAAATTTGACTTTTAAAAGTGAAATACACATTTTCTTGTATATATTTGTTGATGTAAATGATATACTTAAATTTTCTATAAGTAAATATTAAAATTTAGGGGTTAGATACATAATATATAAAAATTATGTCTTATGTATACAAATCCCATAGAATTAATTTGTTCAAGATTTTTAAATAATTCAAAATAAATGGCCAACATTATGCATTCATGAAATTCCAATTCAATTTTGATCAATATAGATTTCTACACTATTCAATATATTTTGAGATGAGATTAATATGAATATTTGTTTAATTTTATATTAATTTGTTAGAAGCTAAGAAAATATTAATTAAATGAAATTTAGTAGGACTTTTTGATCCACCCCTATCTCCTTTGTGATTCTCTCTCACCTCTTCAGCTTCCTCGATCCATAGATTATCCCACATAAATTAAACTGAAGAGCTCATCTTCATCATACTGCCATAAAAAGACAAGTAGAGCCAGTAAGGGCTATTAATTTTTAGATAGATTGAAAATAATGAACGAGCTCTGCTGTAAATAATTGTTGAGTTAAATAAATAAAAAAATTATGATACATAAAATAAGAGTGTAGAAAATAACAAAATATAAATATAACTGTTGCGTCTTAGAATATTTGCAACAGTGGAGAAATATAAAGTTTATCGTCTTAATTTTGTACAAAGATCCAGCACACAATAAGATAAAAAGAGATGGTGCAATATTTATAATAGACACCAAGAATTTTATGTTCACAAAATCAATACACCCTTTCTACATCCCTAGCAATCTCTCAATCCGACCATCCGATTCTTCTTCTTAGAACTGAAATCAATACCTACAAGAGATTGCAAAATAAAATTTGCAGAGAGAACAAATGCCCCCTTGAAAAACAAGAAAAAAATAGTAGGAATTGACTAAATTGAAGAACTCATCACCTGATCCTGCTTCTCCTTAAACTCTAAGCTACCCTTCCTCTTCTGCTTCCCTACTGAGGCCACAATCTCAATCCCACCATCTTCTTCTTCTTCTTCTTCTTCTTCTTCTTTGATCTGACATCAAAATCTATCATTTTTTGATAAGAAGGGAAGCGGGAAGATTTATTCCCATTGTATGACCAAATAAAAAACTCACCGCCTTTGCTGGTGCAGCAAACTCACCTTGATATTCATCTTCAGTGCACTGCCATGAAAAAACAAGCAAAAGTGTTAGAAGACATGCCCACGTCAGCAATCTTAGAACACGCTCTCTGTAATTAACTGCTGATGTGGCATTGCCGTACATAACAGAACATGTCTTCCTCTCTTCTAGATAGCTAATGTACTTCTTCTTTTGTCTATAAATACATCCCTGTATCAAGATCTAAGTAAGAAAGAAGGAAGAAGTTATTCACCTACCTCCTGTGTCTCTTTCTTGTACTCCTACATCTCTAAGTTCATATACTAGGAAACTAGTTCTCTCATGGTATGAGAGCTTCATCGCTCAACACCTTCGGGATCCGTCAATGGCCGAACAAGAATCTGCAGCATCTCCTCCAGGGAATTCAAACCTCTCAGCTTCCTTAGTCGAATTTAATGTACCAGCTCCTCTCAAATTCCACGTATAAAATCTCAAGAATCTTGTTCCCACCCAACTCACTAATGAGAACTATATTATTTTGCGTCTTCAATTGTATCAACATTTTTCGGCAAATGACTTTACCAGCCATCTCACTGGTCTCTTTGTATGTCCTCCTGAAACTTCAACAATTGAATGCAATCTATGGAAGCTCATTGATAGCAATCTCATATCTTCTTTGTTGTCTACATTCTCCTCATCAGTGCTTCCATATATTCTCATTCTTGCCACGGCTCATGAGGTATGGATTACACTTAAAAGATGATTACAACCTACTTATAGATCTCGAGTTATTCAACTCAAGAACGAACTTCATCAAATTCAAATGAAATATCACACAATGCAACAATATCTCACTCAGATCAAAATGATCGTGGGCAACATTACTGCAGCCAAATCAACTATTGACGCTGAAGACATCATATTATATATTTTAAATGGTCTTCCAATAATCTATAATCCATTCAAAACGGCTATATAGTGAGGAGATAAATCTCTAACACGAGCAACTTAAAGACACTCAATAGCAACCGAACACCGTAGCTCTTCTTTCAAACCGCAACAACTCAGATCGTGGATGATCCAATCAATTACGAGGTCGAGGCTCAAACTCTCGTCCGCCATCTAATTTTAATTCTCAGAATCAAGGTATAACATCAGTGATCAATAGACCCACATGTCAAATCTTTGAGAAAATTGGCCATTCAACATTAAATTGTTGGCATCAATGTAACCTTCAATACGCTCCTTCGTCTTCGTGGAATCTAAGAGCTCTTCTTGCTCATCAACAACCCAACACTACAGCCGAGTGGGTTCTGGATTCCGTAGCGTCGTCACATCTGACTTTGGATGCTTGTAATCTTCAACAACTAGTTCCATACAATGGTCTTGATTCTGTTTTCATTGCAAATGGGAGCACGTGACCCTTTCAGAAAACTCGACAAGGCATCCTACCCTTATCGGACTCAGCTTGTAAGCTCTATCTCTACAATCTTTTGGATGTTCCGTCATTGTCTCACAACCTTTTGTCTATTTCCAAATTAACATCATATAATAATGTTTACATCTGCTTTGACGCTCATGGTTTCTTTATTAAGGATCTTCAGGACAATCAATAGCTTCTACATGGTCACAAGCATAGAGGTTTGTACCAAATACAAATATCTCCTAGAAATAAGGCAACTGCTTTAGAGCCACAAGTATATCCACCTCATTGTGGCACGCCTTGGACACCCTCATTCTCGCCTCATTACCTCTCTAGTCAAATACATTCTGGAATTACAGTGTTTCACCTCTATCATACATTTGTATATCTTGTAACGTGGCCAAAAGCCACAAAATCCCCTTTACTACCAGTACTTCTTCATGTACCATGCCATTTGAGCTTGTTCATTCAGACGTATGAGGTCCGGCTCCTTAATCATCATTCAATGGCTATAAGCAATATGTAATATTCATCGATGACTTTACAAAATTTTCTTGGCTTTACCTCATGAATTCTAAACAAGAAACGTTCATAAAGTTTTAAAACTTTTGTAATCTCATCAAAAACAAATTCAATAGCCACATTCAAACTTTCCGATTAGATGATGGTGGGGAGTTCATAAGCAATTCCTTTCATTTGTATCAATCAAACAACGACACCACTCATCAAATCAGCTGCCCATATACTCCTGAACAAAACTGACCGCCGAACGCAAACAATGCCATCTTCTTGATCTTACTATAACACTTCTACATGCTGCTAACCTTCCTATTCATTTATGGGCTAAGGCGCTAACTACTTAATGAACCGTTTACCTTCAAAAGCCATATCACTTCAAGTTCCTTATCATAAGTTGTTTGGTCATTCCCCTACCTAGAATCATTTGCGAACTTTCAGGCGCTTATGCTTTCCTTGGCTTCAATCACAAACTCCAAATAAACTCTCGCCTCGTTCTCAAGAATGTGTATTCTTGGGTTACTCTAGTTTGCATAAAGGTTATCGATGTCTCAACATTAAAACCAATCAAATCCACACATGTTTTTCATGAACACCATTTCCCATTTCAAGATTCATCAAAACAAACTGTTGCCACTTCATCAGACACAAACTATTATCCTCTCTTCTTAGTTCCAGCTTCCACAATACCTACTGTCATCCCTAAAACTACTGCCCCATTAGACGTCATAACTCCTGCACTCAATATATTGCCTGTTGCTCCAGAAAATCGATCTTCCTCACAAAATTCTTCAACTCAAATCTATGGTATAAACTCCAAAAATCATCCCACATACAGCCTACACAAACTCAAATTCATCATATACAAACTAGATTCAAATCTGAAATCCCGCAGCCTAAATAGATCTTCGATCTGTCTGTTGTTTCCACTCCTTTATCCACTCCTACATCCTATTCTTAGGCAACAAAACACAAGTAGTGGAGAAGTGCAATGTCAGAAGAATATATTGGCCTTCAAAAATAAGGTACTGGGTTGCTTGTTCCACTGCCAACTGACAAGCCAATTCTTGGCTGCAAGTGGACGTTCAAAACCAAGCTACAAACTAATGGACAAATTGATAGATACAAGGCTCGTTTAGTGGCCTAGGGTTGTTCTCAAGAATTTGATGTGAACTACACCGAAACATTTAGTCCGGTAGCTAAAATGTCAATAATTTGCATTCTCCTCACACTTGATCTTCATCGTTAATGGTCTATCACTCTATTCTTCAATTAGATGTATCAAATGTATTTTTACATGATGAACTTCAAGATGAAATATATATGAAACAACCACCTAGGTTGAACCATGCGAATTTGTAAATTATGGATGATAATGACGAAATGGCATTATGTTTTCTGGTCAGCATGATTTATGAAAACCTTTTTACAGAGCCATAGAATCATGTTTATGCAAAGAAAATGGTGCTAATCTTACAACACAAACAAAAAATTTGAAGTTTAAAATACCAATCAATTATCACTTTATCAGTATCCTAAGAGAATGAATAGAAAAATACAATAGATTGTTGACATGGCCATAGAAATATGTCTTGCAACAAGATTTAGCATGATAGATATAGACCAATCCATAAGCAAGAATGGTACAGTAACTAACCTCACACCAGTCCAAACAGTCAATCGCCTTTACTTCAAAATTTTCAGTTTAACCTTTCTCACTTTCTTCTCTCGCAATGCACACCACATGACCATTGGTTCCCAGCTTAATCCAGAAGATAAATCAAGCACATCGCGGACAATCACTGGCTCACCTTTAGCCCAATGCTTCTGGAAATGTTCCAGTTCTCCCCCTGGAATACATCTAGCACTTGGACAGAATAAAAGGTTATCTTCGCAGCCTTCTCTAGAAGCTGCTTTTCTCAATGAGCCACTGTGAGAATCAATCTTTCCTGAAACACAGAAACAGGGGCAAACTCCAGAGTTTTCATGTGATTCTGTAAGTTCACTGCTTTTGAGTCCAACAATTCCATTAGCCTTCTCTTCTAACTCAAAAATCTTCTGAAAGAATATGCTTGAGCTGCAAAAGAGAACTACCACAACCACCCAATACTTCAGGTGGACAAGAAATACTACCATCAGCAGTTGCTCTCCATTGCAATGTGCATTTAGAAGATCTTCAGGGATATCAGTATTTACTCCACATTGGCTACTGTGCCCAGGCAAACTGCCTTCACGAAGCCCTCGACAGCAAGACAAACATAGGTCATAGGCGCAACTAGAACAGTTTCTATGGAAATCTGCAATTGATGAGCTGCAGTAATTGCTGCCAAAAACACAAGTGCATGTTAAGTTTCTTAAGTGTTTAAAATACAAATGAATAGCAAATTAACTGTAGCAGAAAGAAAACAAACCAATATACTCGTTCATCATTTGCACAAGGAGCTTCTTGTAACTTTACTTCAGTAGTTCAGTCAATGCAATGCCTAGTCATAAGAAAATTATGGGAGAGAACAGTGAGTCAGAGGAATGAAGACTCAGGAAGCAGCTAAATTATGGTCTAGTATATCAATACCTTTTATCTGAGCCTCAAGTTCCTTTTCCAATTGTTGTTCTTTGCGTAGTTCTTTGAACCATGGAAGCAACAGACGTAATACATATAAATATTTTGTTTTTTGTCCTCCTCTTGAATGGCTCTTTTAGGAGGCCGAGATTGATAGTTAGGCTTTTAGAAACTCAACTAAAATAATGGTTTGAAAGAAAAACAAAGACGAAAGGAGGAAAAAAAAAACTTCACCTCAGAAATTCCTCTCATGCGTAAGCATGATTTGCAATTGCAATTGAACCGGCAAACTGGGCATTTAATACGTCAGGAGTTAACTGTGGATACCTACACATCAGCAACCAATAAACATATCGGCATGATTAGACAGAAAACAATGAATACAATCTAAACTATAATTCGTAACATACTATAATCAATAGATAAATAATAAAAAAAATAAATAAACTATTCATACATTTTAAGGCAATAAGCTAATGCTGAAGAAAAGTAAAATGACTAACGTAACTTCAGCATGAAAATTTCAAGGGCTGTTTGATTCAGTAACATCACAATATTTTGTCCTGCTACTCCAAAAGGGCTATTTTTTGTCAGTTAAAGTCTCCCAGCAACAAAATAAAATATGATTGTTATATATTATTTTGGTAACATCTAGATGTCACATCATCTTATTAAGATATGCTGGAGCCTAAGATTTAGTGCTTCTCCATGAAGCAAAAAACACAAACACAGGAATATGGATACAGATACAGACATGGACAAGACACATAATGATGTTGCATAGTTGCAAAACGTAGAACACGACATGCTATGAAGACATTTTTACATTGTATAAATTATTAATATGAAATATATAATTTCTATCATTCTCTATTATAAAAACCATAGGCTGAAAGATAACATCACATACATGTTTTTTACACAGAAATTTTATATAGTAAAAGATAAACAAAACATTATTAATAATAAAAAAATGCTTTATCACACTATAAATCTAAAGATATTTAAGATTTTCATTTTTTTTCCCATTTCCTTTCACTTAAATTTGTAGCATCTTGAATTAAGCTTCATTTTTAGAAGATGTAAGTAGTATTTTTCTAATTATTTTAATACATGAAATGCATGTTTTGGTAAGTAAGCCTTGAGTGAAAAGCTCAATTGCTGCTTTGGATCCTATGCATCAATATTTATTTGAACTTGCTTTTTTTAATTCTTAGTCATTAGATGCGTCGGGAAGACTTCAACAACAAGGCGGAGAGGTGAGATGCAAGATAGCTTCAACACCTAAGAAAACATATGGAACGGCTTCAACGCCGGGGTGGAGATGCGAAATGGCTTAGACGAAGAGGAGCTTACGAGACAACTTCAACTAAAAGGAGCGACATGTATCACAGACGGCTAAAACCTCTTATGGGGTATATAAGTATTAACTCTTTCTCATTACACGGTTTGATTTTGAGTTCTATTAATTCATTCACATGAACCTTCGGTTTTGAGTCCCTGTCTTCTGGCGAGTCAGGAAAGTGTTGGAGTTCAATTCCACAAAAAAAAAAAAATTTAGAAGCAATTTGCAAAGTGTCAAACATGTGTCTGGTAAAGCCGAAGTTATGTTTGTGCCCGACGCATATTTGACACGAACATGGAAGTATCCATGCTTCCTAGGTGTTTTGTATTATGTCATTCATTTGCATCACCTACTCAAAGGCGGAGGAAAGGGGGGGCACGTGCCCCCCCCTAAAAAAATGAAAAATATATATAGAGAGAGGGAATTTAGAGATAAAGGCTAAGTTGAAAACTTCAGAAATTAAATCGGAGACCATCTTAACTCCGATTTCAGCAAACTTATAGTCAAATTGAACGTATCAAAAATACGAACCCAACGGCACCAAATTCGACTCAATCCGAAACCAAATGACTCCAGATCAAAGACCCGAAGCATATTTAGAAGGTTTAAATCATAATTTGGATTACCAAATAGTTTTCAAACATAACATGCTTATAGTCGAATTGAGCGGCTAGACGAGACGAATCCAACGAGCTCAAGATAGCCAAATTTTGAAATAACTAAGCCATTTAAATGCCCAATAAATGATCCACGATCAAGCGATTCAATATTGATCGTCCATTCAAATCACTCCCAATTTAATTTCCTATTCATTCACATTTTTTTCTTGGTTGATATTAGCTTAATCCTATATTGATTCGATCTTAAATAGATTTTATATTTTTTTTGTGCAATGAGATTTTTAATATCACGTATTTAGTTAATATATTGAACCCGTTCTAGCATAAATCAAGTGATTTGATGTATGGAAGTCATTTTGTGAAGGAAAAAAAAAATTTATTCACTATCAAAGTTTTATCATTTTTAAAACTGATTATATCGGTCCCAAGCCTGTATGTAAAAAGTTGAAAGAAAATTTTAAATAAAATTAATTTAGGCCCCCCCTAAATATACTTTCTGGCTCTGCCACTGCACCTACTCCATCTATATTTTCACATAAATCATATTAGTGGCTGACATTACCTTATTCCTTCTTATGTGCACCAAATTCTAACAATCACAAGACTAATCATTATTCTTTATGTGATGTCCAAACTAAAGGCCAATTTTTTTTTTTGTGAATTTTTTCAAATTGTTAGGCATTATAGTGGCTAATGTTTGGCATCATTCCAAATCTTCTTAGCGGCTTTGAAACTTCACAATAGTTCTATTGGGAAGTAAACCAAGAACAAAACAAACAAGAAAAAGAAAATAGCAGAGAAGAACATCGTGATTTAATATGGAAAAATCCAAAATTGGGAAAAAAACTATGGAGCAGACCACACCAAGAAATCCACTCTAAAAAATGGGAGAAAATTGTATAGAACTCTTTCTCTCCTATTCTCTCCTTGTCTCTCTACACTTCTCACAGCATTCTATTACAAGAAAACAAAATAGATGCACTTATATTGCACCATGAAATCATTCTATGATTGATAGTTTATCCAATCATGGGTGTATTGTACTCTAAAGATAACATTGAACTTAATAATAATCATACACACAACAGTGAAATCTTCAAATATGATAATACAAACCAAGAATGCTGTTTGACTAATAAAATTGGAAATTCACAAGCAATGACTTCTTATAACATTGGCATAAAAATAACATTGAGCTAAATAGCTCCTCAATTTAATGTAATGATTAAGTAGAAAATGATGTGTGAGGTGATCACTAAAGAATTGAGATAGATAGAATAAATTGCATAATTCCAGCAAGTATTATGAATGGTGAGTAAATTAAAACCCCAACTTTATATTTAAATGAAGCAATCAAATCATTAATGACCAGAATTTCAATGAATAATAATTTAACTGATAAACCAATCAAAAGACCTAATATTCAAGCACACATGTACAATAGAGAAAAGAAGATAAGAGATAAACACGCACCATCTCTTCATACACGGATAACAATACCGTTTTCTTTGGCAAGCCATGCATCGCACCACAGCTCCCTTGTCATTCTTTTGGCATTGATGGCACATTAGCGCATCTTCACCACTCAGTAACTTTGTCTTGGTACCCTATAGCCACAAAAGGTAAATTAAACACTAAACATTATATAAGGAAAAAAAATCAGGAAATAACAAGAAAATGGGCAGCTTGAAGAGTTCGTCACCTGATTCTTCTCATAATCAGAATTTATGGGAGCTTTCCTCTTCTGATTCTTTACAGATGATGCAATCCCAGTTCCAACATTGACTTCATCACGATGCTGTCAAAATCCAACATTTTCTAATGAGAGAAAACGAAAGAAAAAGTTCTATGCCCATAACAGATTGCAAAAGAGAACAAATGACAAAAGTAAGAAAACAAAAATAGAAAATAAGCAGGAATTGACTAAACTGAAGAGCTCGTCATCTGATCATGCTTCTCCTCAAACTCTAAGCTAGCCTTCCTCTTCCGCTTCGCTACTGGGGCCTCAATCTCAATCCCACCATCCGATTCTTCTTCTTTGAACTGACATCAATACCCATAAGAGATTGCAAAAGAATATTTGAAACAGAACAAATAACCCCTTGAAAAACAAGAAAAGAAAATCGAAAATAAGCAGGAATTGACAAAACTGAAGAATTCGTCATCTGATCCAGCTTCTCCTCAACTCTACGCCAGCCATCCTCTTCCGCTTCATTAATGAGGCCACAATCTCAATCCCACCATCCGATTCTTCTTCTTCTTTGAACTGACATCAAAATCCATCATTGTCTGATAAGAAGGGAAGCGGGAAGAGTTATTCCCATTGTATGACAAAATAAATAACTCACCGACTATGCCGGTGCAGCAACCTCGCCTTGATATTCATCTTCAGCGCACTGCCATGAAAAAACAAGCAAAAGAACGTATATTATTAAATCACCACAATATAGAAGTGCCTTGAAAGAAAATAATCATCCCGTCAAAAGAACATTAAAAACCCCACCTTTGTGTCGCTCAACCCATCCCCATGTCTTAAATCTTCCATTTTGCTACCGGAACCATTCCCTTCCTCAGGCTGCAGTTCCCATTTTTCCAATGCATCGCAACAGTAAACAAAATTGATAAGTTAAATTTGAGAAATTAGATAGAAAAACATCTAAGGATGTCAAGGATAGGCAAGTTAGAAAAAAATCGCAGGTATGAGCGTCACCTCAACCTTCCCGTTGCCGTTGGAAACAAAGCTACTATCCTCAGTCTTCTTCTTCCCTAACTCAGAGTCATTACTAGTCCTAAAAAACTCAGACAAAACCTCACTTCCTCCACTTCCAGGGTCCGACATTGTTGAAAGCCTAACCTTAATCCTAACTGCCAACACCTCCCTCTTTTAACTTTGTTCTTTCTGATGTGGCTTTGGTATTTGCTTCAAAAACAGTTTTTGGCCGCGCAAAATTGATAGAAATGAGAGGACTTTTAATTCAGAGACGGAGCTGAAAAGGGTTGCCAATCGGTGGTGTAATCGTGAAGTGGCATGCAAGTATTTGTTGAGCTAAATAAATAATGAGTTTAATGTACACGAAATAAAAGTACATAAAATAAAAAATAATTAATTAAGAACAAGCGTCAACTGTACCAAAATGTAAATTTCTTAAGAATTTTTATGATTGCTTAAAATTTATGAAAAAAAATTTTGTAATTAAAATACTACAACATAAATGATATGGAGAAAACAATTTTTAAATTAAATTTTATTTTTTATACTTTTATTTCGTGTACATTAAACTCATTTATTTATTTAGCTCAACAAATGTACCACTTCACGATTACGCATCGATCACAGTTTTCGGCTTCATCTTTGAATTAAAAGTCCTCCAATTTCTATAGATTTTGCAAAAAATTGTTTTAGAAGTCAAAATCAAAACCCCTTGAGAAAGAACAAAGTTAAAAAAGGGAAGAGTGGGGGCAGTTAGGGTTACTGTTAGGCTTTAAAAAATGTTAGACTTTGGAAGTGACGAAATTATTATGTGTAGAGATCAGATGCAGTACGTCATATAGAGATCGACCATATATAACGGTATTGAATCGCAGTACGAAATTATACTGAGCCACGATACCAACCAAGCAAAGAATTTATTATTCTGTGCAAAAAAAATACTCCCGTCCCTAAAATGTACGGGCTCGTACCGAACTCGGTAACGTGGCCCGTTTCGTTGGTCTCCCGACGGTTTTCGCCGCACAGTTTGTCAGTTTTTAGGGCTAGTAATGACTCTGAGTTGGGAAAGAAGAACACTGAGGATAGTAGTTTTACTTCCAGCGGCAACGGGAAGGTTTAGATGACGCTCATAACTGCTATTTATTTTCTAACTTTCCTTGATTCAACTTATCAAATTTTTTTACTGTTGCGACGCATTGGGAAAGAGGAAGCGGCAGCCTGAGGAGAGGAATGGTTCTGGTAGCAAAATAGAAGGTTTAGGACATGGGGATGGGTTGAGCGACACAAAGGTAGGGTTTATAATGTTCTTTTGAGGCGATGATTAAGGCCCTCTATCTTGTGATGATTTAGAAATGTAAGAATTCTTTTGCTTTGTTTTTTCATGGCAGTGCACTGAAGATGAATATCAATGCGAGTTTGCTGCAGCAGAGGCGGTGAGTTATTTATTTGGTCATACAATGGGAATTTCTCTTCCTGCTTCCCTTCTTATCGTACAATGATAGATTTTGATGTCAGTTCAAAGGAGGAGAAGAATAAGAATCGGATGGTGGCCTTAGTAGGGAAGCTGAAGAGGAAGGGTAGCTTAGAGTTTGAGGAGAAGCAGGATCAGGTGATGAGATCTTCAGTTTCGTCAGTTCCTGCTTTTTTTTTTTTCCTTGTTTTTCAAGGGGGCATTTGTTCTCTCTGCAAATTTTCTTTTGCAATCTCTTGTGGGTATTGATGTCTGTTCTAAGAAGAAGAATCGGATGGTGGGATTGCGATTGTGGCCCCAGTAGGGAAGTGGAAAAGGAAGGCTGACTTAGAGTTTGAGGAGAAGCAGGACCAGATGATGAGCTATTCGGTTTAGTCAATTCCTGCTTATTTTCTACTTTTCTTATTTTTCAAGGGGTCATTTGTTCTCTTGCAAATTTTCTTTTGTCGATTCCTGCTTATTTTCTACTTTTTCTTATTTTTCAAGGGGTCATTTGTTCTCTTGCAAATTTTCTTTTGCAATCTCTTACGGGTTTAAAACTTTTCTTTAGTTTTCTCTCATTAGAAAATGTTGGATTTTGACAGCATTGTGATAAAAGCAAAATTGAAGCTGGGATGTCATCATCTGTAAAGAATCTGAAGAGGAAAGCTCCCATATTTTATGATTATGAGAAGAAGAATCAAGTGATGAGCTTTTCAAGCTGGCCCGTTTCTTGTTATTTTTTATATATTTTTTTTCTTACGTAATGTTTAGCGTTTTATTTGCTTTCTATGGCTATAGGGTACCAAGAGAAAGTTACTGACTGGTGAAGATGCGCTAATGTGCCATCAATGCCAAAGGAATGACAAGGGAGCGGTGGTGCGATGCATGGCTTGCCAAAGAAAACGGTATTGCTATCCGTGTATTAAGAGATGGTGCGTGTTTGTCTCTGATCTCCTTTTCTCTATTGTACATGTGTTCTTGAATATTAGGTCTTTTGACTGGTTTATCTGTTAGATTATTAGACACTGAAATTATGGTCATTAATGATTTGATTGCTTCATGTAAATATAAAGTTGGGGTTTTAATTTCCTCTCCATTGGTAATACTTATTTGAATTATGCAGTTTATTCTATCTATCTCTGTTATTTTATTGATCACCTCATACATCATTTTCTATTAAATCATTACATCAAATTGAGGGGCTATTTGACCCAATGTTATTTTGATGCCAGTGTTATAAGATGTCATTGTCTGTACGTTTCCAATTTCATTAGTCAAATGGTATTATTGGTTTTATATTATGGAATTTGAAAATGTCACTGTTATGTATATTATGATTTTTCAGTTCAATGTTATCTTTAGAGTACAATACACTATACACCCATGGTTTACTAAGAACTTGATTCATTCATCTAGAGCTTGCTAGGAATGTAGAAAAAAGGTGTATTGATTTTGTGAGCGGTGAACCTATGAAAGTTGAAAACTCAATGATTTAATATATGTCAAACATTCCTCATGAAAAAATGATGAAAATATTGCAAAACATATTAAATAGTGATGGTTGTCAGATCTTCAAATTATTGTGAAGTTTCAATGACACTAATAAGATTTGGAATGCTGTAAAACATTAGCTACTATAATGCCTAACAATTTACAAAAATTAACACAAAAAATCCACCTTTAGTTTGGACACCTCAGAAAGAACAATGATTGGTCTTTGTGATTGTTACTACTTGGTGCACAAAAGAAGGGATAAGGTAATGCTTGCCATTAGTTAGGTGCATGTGAAAAGAGAGATGGAGTAGGTTATCCAAAGAACAACATAATGCAAAAGACCTAAGAAGCAATGATATTTTCAAATGACATTTGTGTTCATGTTAGACATGGACTCTGCGTCAACACACCTAGACACATGTCTGCTACTTCAAAAATCATGTCAAAGTTTTTTTTTAAAGTGTGGAATTGGTTTCCAATACTTTCCAAAGACGACATGAGATGATGGGACTCAAAACCAAATATTCATGTGAATAAATTAATAGAACTCAAAATCCAACCATGCAATGAGAAGGAATTAATACTCATATGTCTTTAGAAGCTCTAAATTTATGTGATATGTATCGCTTCTTTTAGTTTAAGTTATCTTGTGGATCCTCTTTGTCTAAGCCATCTCGTGTTTCTGCTTTGTTGTCGAACCTGTTTTATGTTTCTGCCAAGGTGTTCAAGCTATCTCACTTCTCACCTCTCTCCACCTCAGCGATGAAGTCGTCTTGACGCATCTAACGACTAAGAATTAAAAAAAGGCATGTGCAAATAAATATTGATTTATTGGATCCAATGCAGAAACGAAGCTTTGCACTCAAGTTTTACTTAGCAAAACAGGCATTTCATGTGTTAAAATAATTAAAAATTATTATTTACATCTTTTAAAAATGTCATATGAGACGCTTAATTCAAGATGCTACAAGTTTGAGTGAAAGGAAGTGGGGAAAAAATGGTAAGCAAAAATATGTCTTTAGATTTATTATTTGATAATGCATTTCTTTTATTATTAATAATATTTATTGCCCGTTTACTATATAAAATTTCTTTTGTAAAATACATGTACATGATCTTATGTATCAACACCTGATGTCTATAGTAGAGAATAATAGAAATTATATATTTCATATTAATAGTTTATAAAGTATAAAAATGCCTACTTTTTGCAATTATGCCATATCGACATGTCTATGTTGTGCATGTGTCCATGTCCCTGCGCTTGTGCGTCTCTCTTTTCATGCTTCATTGCAAAGAACTAAATCTCGATGTCATTAAATGTGAGCAAAATAGATTTAAGAATCTAGAATGTTACCAATCATCTTTTATTTTGTAATTGGGAAATTTTAACGGACCAAAAAATTGCGTTGTTTGAATAACAGGACAAAATTTTGTTATGTTAGTGAGTCAAACAATCCTTGAAATTTCCATGTTGAAGTTACGTTACATATTTTTCTTTTCTTCAGCATTAGCTTATTGCCTTAAAATGTATGAATAATTTATTTATTTATTTTATTCTTTATCTATTGATTATAGTATGTTACGAATTATAGTTTAGATTGTATTCATTGTTTTCAGTCTAATCATGCCGATGTTTTTATTGGTTGGTGGTGTGTAGGTATCCACAGTTAACTCCTGATGATTTTGCTATTAAATGCCCAGTTTGCCGGTTCAATTGCAATTGCAAATCATGTTTACGCATGAGAGGAATTTCTGAGGTGAAGTTTTTATTCCCCTCCTTTCGTCTTTGTTTTTCTTTCAAACCATTATTTTAGTTGAGTTTCTAAAATCTCAGCCGCCTAAAAAAGCCATTCAAGAGGAGGACAAAAAACAAAACTATTTATATGTATTACGTCTGTTGCTTCCATGGTTCAAAGAACTACGAAAAGAACAGCAATTGGAAAAGGAAGTTGAGGCTCGGATACAAGGTATTGATATATACCTAGGCCATAATTTATTTCCTTCCTGAGTCGTCATTCCTCTTAGGCCCAGTTCTCTACCATAATTTTTTTATAACTAGGTATTGCATTGGCTGGACTAAAGTTACAAAAAACTCCTTGTGAAAAAGATTCATGTGTATATTGGTTTGTTTTCTTTCTGCTACAGTTTATTTTCTATTCATTTTTGTTTTAAACACTTAATAAACTTAACAGCACTTGCGTTTTGGCAGCAAGTTATGCAGCACATCAATTGCAGATTTCCATAGAAGCTGTTCTAGTTGCACTTACAACCTATGCTTGTCTTGCTGTCGAGGGCTTCGCGATGGCTGTTTGCCTGGGCACAGTGGACAATGTGGAATAAATACTAATATCCCTGAAGTTCTTCTGAATGCACTATTGCAATGGAGAGCTAATGCTGATGGTAGTATTCCTTGCCCACCTGAAGTATTGGGTGGTTGTGGTAGTTCTCTTTTGCAGCTCAAGCATGTTTTTTCGGAAGATATGCTTTTTGAGCTAGAAGAGAAAGCTAATAACATTGTTGGACTGGAAAACAGTGAATTTACAGAATCACATGAAAACTCTGGAGCTTGTGCATGTTTCTGTGTGTCAGGAAAGATTGATTCTGACAGTGGTGCATTGAGAAAGGCAGCTTCTAGAGAAGGCTGTGATGATAACCTTTTATACTGTCCAAGTGCTATATCTATTGAAGAAGGAGAGCTGCAACATTTCCAGAGGCATTGGGCTAAAGGCGAGCCAGTGATTGTCCGTGATGTGCTTGATTTATCTTTTGGATTGAGCTGGGAACCAATGGTCATGTGGCGTGCATTTCGGGAGAAGAAAGAAAGAAGGGGTAAATCTAAAAAATTTAATTTAAAAGTGATTGACTGTTTGAACTGGCGTGAGGTTAGTAACTGTACTTGTCTTGCTTATGGCTGGTTCAATATCCAACATGCTAAATCTTGTTGCAAGCCATTTCTATGGCCATATCAACAATCTATTGTATATTTTTTTAATTCGTTCTCTTTGGATATTGATAATTCATTGATGTTTTGAACTAAAATTTGTGTTTTAAGATTGGCACTATTTTCTTTGCACCAACATTATTCTATGGCTGTAAAAAAAAAAAAAAAAATCATTCATCGTGTTAACCATGAAACATCATGTCATTTGCTCATTATCATCCATAATTTACAAATTTGTATGGATCAACTTATGAATATTGACATTGTCTTAATTTTCTAGAATGTATAATAGCTGTTTCAACCTTTCAACACGTTGTATGACCTGAATACAATGAGAAGTGTGCAAGGGCCGCTGCATTGGCGCCTGGGTGCAGTGTTAAATAGGCAAGGGTTCCCACATTATGAACGGATGTTGCAAAGATGCTAGTCCATGAAACTGAAATTTTGATAGGATTTTGGAATATATGTTCACTTACAGGTAAATTAATGGAATTAATAGATATTATAATTTATAGGAAGACAAACATTCTATGTGTTCATGAAACTAAATGAGTTGAAGAAAAGGCTAAGGAGATTGATTGTTTAGGATTTTAAACTAAATATTTTAGTAAGTGCCATACTAGAAATGATGTAGGTGTAATTATAGATAAGAATTTGCATGATAATATTATAAAAATTAATAGAATCAGAAATATAATTATATATGTAAAGATTGTTGTTGATACTATGATTATTAATGTTAGAAATAACGATGCTTAATTAGGTTTAGAGATATGTTCAAAATTAAAATTTTAGAATGACTTAGAAGAATTAATACAAATGATGCCTCTTGAATAAAAAGTTTTTATTGGAGGAGATTTAATAAACATGTTGGTAGCAATATAGATGATTTTAAAGCATTCATGGTGATTATGGTTTAGAGCAACTAATGAAGGTGATAAGATCATATTAGATTTTGCTATAGCTTATGATTTTGTAATTACTACTAACTCATTTAAAAAAAAAGATGAGCATCTCATCACTTATAAGATTGGGTATAGTAAAATTCAGATTGGTTATTTTCTTATAAGAAAAATAAATCATTTAGATTGTAAAGTTACTTCGAGTGAAAATTTATGTACATAATATCGCTTATTAGTTTAAGACTTTAAGATGAAAAGGTAGAATGTAAAAATAAAATAAATATTGTTCTAGAATTAGATTGGGGACATTTAAAGAACACTAACAAAATATTTTTTAAAGTTAGATTTCAGATTTTAAGATTTTATCTGTGCATCAGAAAGCTAGTGTTATGTGGGAAAAAATAGTAATATTAAGAATGTTGTCCTCTAGCGTATGCTTTTTGCTGATGATATTCTTCTTGTTGATAAGACTAGGGAGAGTTGAAGATAAATTTGAATTATGAAGGTCAATCTTAGAGTCTAAAGGTTTTCATTTGAGTTGATCTTAAACTAAATATATGAAGTGTAATTTTAATAGTAATAGATCTAGTGGAGGATTTGTGACTTTGGGCGATCTAGTCGTTAATAAGAGTATACATTTTAGATATCTTGGGTCTATTGTTCCGAGTGATGGTGAAATAGATAGGGATATTATTAGCATAATTCAAGTTAGATGGTTAAAAGGAGGAATGCATCAGGCTTATTGTGTGATAAAAAAGTCCCCCTCAAACTTAAGGAAAAATTTTATAAGATGGTGCTGATACTTGCTATGCTTTACGGTGCAAAATGTTGGCCATTAAAAGAGAAGCGTAATATTAAGTTAAGTGTTGTAGAGATGAGGATGCTCAGGTGGATGAATGATTTTACTCTTAGAGACATGATACGAAATATGCATATACGTGAAAAGATTGGAGTAGATCCAATTGAAGATAAGATTATCGAGAATCGCCTTAGATGGTTTGGTAACATAAAATGGTGGCCTTCTGATGACCTGATTAGGAATGTAGATGTATTAGATTTGACTTATGCTAAAAAAGGTTGAGGTGAACCTAAAAAGACTTGGTTAGAAAATATTATAAATGACCTTTCTTTTTTAAATTTAAATGAGAATTTGATTCTTTACAGAACACAATGGAGAAAAATGATTCATGTAGTTGGCTCCATGTAGTGGGATAAAGACTTGATGTTGTTGTCATTATTGTTGTATATTTAATTTCGAACCATGGCTCACATGTGGCGCAAATAGCGCGCGCTATTTTAAACACATGCGCTTCGCCATGAACATGGGGCCGTAGGTGCGCCGCGCCGTGCGCCATGGCACGTGCTATTTTGTGCCATTGACAGCTATGTTTCGAACGTTGAAAATTGTGCCCACATTGTTATTCTAGCATCTTATTACTTATAAGAATGGATATAGTAAAACTCAGATTGATTATTTTCTTATAAGAAAAATAGATCGTTTAGATTGTAAAGTTCTTTTGAGTCGAAGCTTATATACCCAACATTACTTATTAATTTTTAACTTTAAAATGAAATGGGAGAATTAAAAAATAAAGTAAACCTTTGTAGGATTCGATGGGGGCATTTAAAGAATATTAACAAAAATATTTTTGAAATTAAGATTCTAATCTTAAGATTTTGTCTGTGCATAAGGAAGCTAATGTTATATATGAAAAAGTAGGTAAAGATATTAAGAATGTTGTAAAAGATGCGCTTGGTATATCAAAGAGAAAAGTTAATAATAGTAAAAATAGTTATTGGTGGAATCAAAATGTGCAAGAAAAATTAAAAAATATGAAGATTTGTTATAAAAATTGGTTTAATTGTAAAAGTTTTGATAATTAGGAAAGATATAAAGAGGTTTGTAAATAGTTTAAGAAAACAATATGCAATGCAAATATTTTATCTTTTAATGATTTATATAATAAATTAGATACTAAGGAAGACTATATATATATATATATATAAGTTTGCTATAAAAGAGATAGGCGTAGTAAGGATTTAGTTCATGTGAAGTGCATTAAGGATGAAGATTAAAAAGTATTTTTATTAGAAATAGTATATTAAAATAAGGTTGATGAGATATTTTACCAAAATTTTCAATGAAAATTGTGAGAATGCGATTGACTTTGGTGACCTTAGCATCCTAAATTAAAATAAAGATTTTTGCTTTTATCGACGTATTAGTAAAACATAAGTTAAAGAGGCTTTAAAAAAATGAATTGTGGAAAAACTGTTGGACCTGATGATATTTTACTAGAGGCGTGGAAATGCTTAGGATACGAAGGAATTTTATGGCTTAATAAACTTTTTAATATTATTTTGAAGACTAAAAAGTTGCTATATGAGTGGAGAATGAGGGTTGATTTCTATTTTTGAGAGTATAGGTGATGAACAAGATTGTGCGAATTACAGAGGAATGAAGTTAACATGTCATTCTTTAAAAACTATGAGAGAGAGAGAGAGTTATGGAGCATAGGTTGCGGCGTGTGGGCTTTAAAAATTCGGCCACGTCCTCCGCCCGCTCGTGCTTTTTCTTCAGCGAGGGAGTTTTAACGGAATAAGTTCCGGGATAAATTTTGGAAGGCAGATGAGTTTGTAGATAAGACACTACCCAGAGATTTCGCCCTCATTTATTGAGGACTTTATGATCTGAGTTCTAGTTTCCTGTAGGCGCAAGCCCCTATAGTTAATTACCCCTGCCAATAATGAGAGAGAACTTTCGATTAAGGCTACTCGTCAATCAGATACGTAGTATCCGTAAATACATAGTATCAGGTATATAGTAGCAGCATGGGTTTAGGTATTTGGGAATTGGGTTTTAATGTTTGGAAATTTGAAGGTTTTGTATTTAAAATAGAAATTTTCATCATCCTGCAGTTAAAACGGATGGTGGGGGAATAGATGATAGACCCGATCAAGATCACATGGTTCCGTCGTCCCGGGCCATCGTGGTCCCTGGTCTACTTAATCAGAGGAGATAGTCGACCCAACCTAACAGAAGGATCCTTGTCGGTAGCCATGGGTTGCTTCATCCAAGGGTATCTTATAGACCTGGGTTGAATGTTTGTCTAAGGTGACAAATTTGAATCCACCTCAGCTAACAGAGGATTTTGTTCCCTATCAATCATATCCTATTTATTCATGTCTCAAGGATTTGATGTCACTAAGGAGCGTATTGTCTCTGGCCATAACCAGTATCTGTGGTACCATTTTGCGGCAAAATCATTCGGTTTAGAGGGCCCCGGGTCAACCGTTTATCCGGCGGTGCTATTTGGCGGCAAAATCGCTGATTAGAGGACACGTGCCACGTCCTTAATGGCAGGAGATTGTTTGATAATGGATCATAGTAATATTTTCGACTAGGCATTTGCTCTTTGTGAGCTAAAGTAATTTTCAGAATTGTCTACCTCAATAAACTGTTACGGAGGGTGGATAGATTTTTGTCTTAAGTGTTAATGGATTAATTTCAATTTTAAACAATTTTTAGATTTCTGGATTTTTTGTATTTTTATGGGTATTTGGGTAGAGCTTGGAAGGCATTTGAAAGTTTTTGGAATGGACCCCTCCGGTTTAAGATTTTTTATTCAACACGATCATCATCGGAGTGTGAGGGGTTATTTTCATTTAAAGCTTGAACCTTGTCAAACCTATCAACTTGCCAATAGGGGATCGGGTTTCGTAGGCTTTGTGCCTTTATTAGTGAATTTATGTTGTTATAGGCCTTAAAGACCTAATATGAATGTATTAAAATAAATATACTGGTTGCCACCACTTTATACTTATTTGATTGTTCGAACCTTATCGACTCCTATTGACCCGTATAGAAGGATCGGGTTTGAACTTAAATTCACTTATTGACTCGCGTAACATCATTAGACGTCACGTGCGTTCCCACAATATGCTCACTGGGGCCCATGCGGGTTGGGATTGTATATTCCCCTTTAGTGTACCTATATATATACAAATTATGATGCACGTGCAGGGGTATTTTGAAATA